CGGCTTGCGTAGCGTCGTCGACGGCCCCAACCCCCGACACAATGTTTCAACAAAGCACCAAGACATCACCGAACCATCCCAAAGGCGTTTCAAAAAGGCTTCAGTGCAGTTGAAGAAGAGCCTCGAGACGCCTCCAGAGTGCTCCCGTGGGGGATCAAAACCCGAGTAGGTTCGTAGACGGCCCAAGATGGGCCCAATACGGTTCCAAGACCGCCCCCCAGAGACCCCCAAGACAATACCCGGTTCAATATTTGTGGGTGTCCCCTGGGTGGTTCAATGATTGAGGATGTTGCTTCGTTATTTGTTGTGTGTTTGGTGTTATTTGGCTTCCGCCTCCCAACTTCCTCCTTTGGCCTCATGAGGGCAGGGCTTTGTGATTCGCAGGGCTTCGAATACAGCCGTGCCCGCGCCGAACAATTGCCTGCATTCATTCCGAGGTGATACGCGATGTGCGTGACCGCCGCTGTTGGCGGCCGCGCTGTACATTCTCCCGCCTCTTCGTCCTCTGCGGCCTCGTATTTCAAACACGCAAGTCAAGGTTTCGTGTGCGGGCTTGCTTATTGTAGGCTCGTTCGAGCGCGGCTCCAGGTTTTCTTGGTGCACTTCAGTTGTAACCATCGCTTGCAGGGGAATGCGATTGCTTTCCGGGGGAAGGAGGGGGGGATGAAGGGGTTGGGACTCTCTGGGGGTCTCTTGGGGTGTCTCGAGGCCATGATGGGGTTTCTCTGGGGTCTCAGGATCGTTTTAGAAGTTGGCGCCGCGTGGTGGAGTTTTCGGGCCGTCCTGCGCTCAGTTTGGGGACGTCTGGACGCGTTGTGGGGGCTGTTCTGGAGGCCAACCGAGCCGGGGACGTGTGGGGGCTATGTTGGGGCCATTTCCTGGGGCGTCTTGGGCTATTTGTGGAGCCTTCGAGGGGGTCCCAGACCCTCTTGGAGGCGTCTGGACACGATGGACGAGATCGCAAACCACATGTTTTCCAGCATGGAGTCCAATCAGTGAGTTATCGCATTGTGGAGGTGTAAGCTGGATGGTGCAAGCTATGTGGTGTGAGCTATGCGGAGCAAGTTGCGTGGTGCAGGCCATTTGGTGCGAGCCATGTGGTGCAAACTGTGTGATGTAAGCCATACGGTGTAAACTAGATATGTGGTGTAAGCTGTTTGCTGCCAGCTGCGTTGTAACATATATGCCGTGCACCCCAGCCGCCCAGCGCCCACGAGGCGCCCACGAGGCACCCACGGGCGGCCACGGGCGTGCACCGGACGAACCCTCTGCGCACCCCCCAAGCGCACGAGGCGCCCACGAGCGCCCACGGGCGGGCACCAGGCGAAACCTCTGCGTATCCACTCAGCGCACGAGGCGCCCGTGACGCACCCGCGGGCGAGCACCAGGTGAAGCTTCGACTGATCCTCCCAGCACACGAGGCGCCCTCGAGGTGCCCACGCGCGTCTACGGGCGAGCACCAGGCGATACACCGGCACACCCACCCGGCGCACGAGGAGCCCACGGGCGGGCACCAGGCGAAATTTGGGCTCACCCACCCAGCGCACGAGGCGCCGTCTGGGCGCCTGCGGGCGCTCACCAACCAGGCACCAGGGGAATCCGACACGCCCATCAAATTGTCGACGCTTCGCGAATCCCCACCAGCGTTTTCCGCTTTTCGCTGCCTAGTCGTGGCCCGGCTAGAGTTTGGACGCCTTTTGACCCGCTTCACGAGGCCATTGACCAAAGAATCCCCACCAGCCCATTCAGAAACGATGCCCAGAGGAATTGCCTGGATCAGGGAAGTGGGCAGCACACAGAGGAAGCTGTTATGAGACATTTTGGGATATCTTGAGCCATCTTGGAGGTCATCTTGGGCTCTCCCAGGTGCTCTTGGAGTCATCTTAATCAGTGCTCCCCCCCAAACCCCCAAGAGGCCAACATGTGGCTAAATCCTTCGTGAAAACAATAATTTGGCATACTCGCCGAGGCCTCTTGGAGCATCTTGGGTGCCCCTGGGGGGTCTCTGGGGGCCTCTTGGGGGTCTCTTGGGGGCCTCCTGGGGGCCTCTTGGGGGCCTCTTGGGGCCATCTTGGGGCCATCTTGGGACCTCTTGGGGCCTCCTGGGCGCTTCTTGGGGCCATCTTGGAGGAAATCGATCACAGGAGGGGGGGTGATAAATTTGCGCCCCCCCCCCGGAGGCCAAAATGGTGCCAACACCTTAATCAAATCAATGATTGTGGCTGCCTCGCCGCGGCCGTTTTGGCATTCCCGCCGAGGTTTCTTGGAACATCTTGGGTGCCTCTGGGGGGTCTCTTGGGGCCTCTTGGGGATCTCTTGGGGCTCCTGGGGGCCTTTTGGGGGCCTCTTGGGGCCATCTTGGGGCCTAGTAGTGCACGGTATTGTTCATTACACACGTCCGCTTGATTTCGCTCTGTAGCCATCGCTTTGGCTGCAGTTGACGCTGTGTTATGGCCCTCTTCGCTCCTGGCTCTACGAAGTTCGAGACTCGGCTTCGACAGGTCATTACGCTGCCAGCCTCTGGAGCAATTGGCAGCGAGAGTGTCAGTGCACGTGCACATTCACGGAGGATCACGACAAAGACTTGGTCCTGCTGCTCCAGAGGCAACTGGACAGGTGCGGGCCTGAACATCTTCGAAGTGCCCCACCGCAAGGGTGCCCCTCGACCTTCTGGGAGGTGACCGTCATCGGCTGCCTGGTGAGCCTTGCCGCCTTCGCCTGCGGGTACTTGGTGGGGCGACTCCATGGACGTGGCGCCACGCGGGATGACGGACAGATGAGGACTGTGCGGCCAGGGGACCGACTGTGCTGCCACTACAGTCTGGAGGAGAAGCTGTACCACGAGCGCCTGCTGTGCGGGCACGTGGCAGGCTCACTCTGGGCGGCGGCGACGCCTGACGGAGACGTCTTTGTCGAGGACTTCGCCGACGCCGACCGCGTGGAGGTGCGCCGCGGCGGGCAGCGCGCGTGGCCTTCCACCGCAGCTGCGCAAAAATATGTTCTACAGGTTCGACCTCGACAAGGGCGCGCTCGCCGCTCTGTTGGCCGAGGCTGCTCAGCTGGCGGAGCGCGAGAACGCCGCTCGCCGTGCCAGCAGGCCGCTGCCTCCGGGGGAAGCAGGCCGCGCAGGCCCAGTCGTCCGAGACGCAGCTCGCCCTCGACGGTGGCACGCGGACCCCGGTCGGCTCCGACGCCGAGCGAGGCGACCACCTGGCGGAGCCTCCGCTCCCCCCACGGGCGCGCGCGCCCCCGCCGCGCGCGGGTCTAGGGGGTGCGCCTCTCCCGGCGGTGCGGCTCGACGACGGCTGGGTTGCCCTGGAGACTCGGCTGGGCTTCAAGCGGGGCAGCCCGGTGGATGTGGCCCTCGCCACCGTCCACGCCAACGATGACCGCGCCCTGGCTTGCTTCCGGAGGGGGTCATTGCGCTCGCGCGCGTCGGGGCCCTCGACGAGTTTCCGGCTCCGCCGAAAGCAGCGACAGATGCAGCGCTGGACGAGCGTATCTTGCAGCGCCGACGGGGGGGCGCTGGACAGCGGCGCCGAGCCTTCGTGGAGGCGGTCGCCGAGCAGCAGGAGGCGCTGGGCACCGAGGAGTGGCGCATCGAGGGGCCTGCCACCGTCGGCTGGCTGCTCCAGGCACATCGGGGGCAGGGTGGGGGGCCCGTCCAGCGCCACTACTGGTGGAGACAGATCCTGGGGCTGGCAGCGGCCGACCCTGGGGTCGACGAACATTTGTTCCTCTGCCAGCTCTTGGAGACCGCAGCCACGGCCGACCAGCTCAACTTGCCGGTTTGCGAGATCGTTCGAGCTGGCGGCCAGGCGCTTCGAGCTCTGGGAAGAGGTGTACTCAGAAGCCTTGCGACAGGCCGAAGTCTCGGGCACTGCAGGGGCCACCGCCGACTCCGACGGCCGGTTGGTCGAGTGCCGCATCTTCTTGGGGGGCACGCGCGCGAAGGGCACGCCCTCGTAGCACCGACTTTGGAGAGGCACTTGGCGGCGAAGATGCAGGAGGAGAGCGCTATCCTCAGGGGGAGGCGCATTGGGGGGGGGCGCCGCATGGCGCATGGCGAGAGCAGCAGCGCAGCTGGCGCCGGCCTCGGCGACCCGGGTGGGGGCGGCGGCGGCGCGGGCGGCGGCGCGGGCCCCGCGGGCCGAGAGCGCGAGCGAGGCGCCCGCGGCCGCGGGCGGGGCTCGCCCGCCACCGCTTATCCGGCTTGTGGCTCGTGCGCGGCCGTTGCAGTCCCCCGGGCAGCGGGCGCTTCCAGGGGAGGGCCGCCGCTGCGGTGGTGATGGCGGCCTTGGCGCACGGGGTCACGGACTCAGCCCTGGCGCGCGACGTTCTGCCCCTCCCGGCTGGCGAGTCGCTCGACGAGCTGCTGCGCGGCGCGGCGGCCCGGCTGCTGCCGCGCGGCGGCGGGCGGCGGGGGCGGCTTCGTCGGCGGCGGGAGGCTTGGCTGCGCGAGGGCATTGCCGCCCTCAACGACCTGGGTGGTCGTGGCTCTGACGCGCCGGCTGGGCCGCCAGCTGCTTGCCAGGCCGCGGCGGTGCGGCGCCTCGCGCGGCTGTGCGGCCGGGCGGGGCCGCCGCCGTCCGACTTGACTCCCTTGGGGGCGTGGCAGACGCCCCAGGCTTCGCGGAGCGGCTATGCAGACGTCATGGCCGACGGTGCAACGACGACCGACAGGAAGGGAGCCATGGCGCTCCCGCGGGCTGCGGCCGGGCGCGCACGGCTCAGTGACGTGTTTCCCCCGCACCTGCAGAATGTCCCGTCGCGTTCTTCGCAGATGTTACGAGAGCCTGAGGCTCGCAATTTTGCTTTGGGCGAGGCCCCTCGGGCCTGCGCTATGCGCTATGGGCCCTCTGCTGCAGAATGGCCACCACTACGGCGAGTGCCTCTCGAACTGCTCTCCGCGGGCGTCCTCGAGCGCGCGGGCGAGGGCGGCGTCGTCGAGCGTGCTGGCCTAAGAAGGACTCCTCCCTGCGTTTGACCTTCGACGCCAG